TCAAGGGAGTGAAGCTCGTAGTCACGCTGAGCAGCAACGTGCAACAGCACCCGAAGAGTGGTCATCTTCGAGGTGGGGGAGAAGGTCTGAAAGAAGTCAACTCCCTCACGCTGACTGAAGCCTCGAGCAACGTAACGCGCCTTGAAGACAGGCGGAGAACCTGGCGGCCGCTTCACCGTGAAAATCCACATGCCATCGACTATGTTTGCCCCAGGAGGGGGAACTTCGTCAACGTAAGTGCCAGTGGACTTCCAGGATGCCATCTCTGCATCCATGGCTGTCTGCCACTGAGAGGAGTAAGGACCCGTAATCACCTCTGCGTAAGAGCGCGGGGTCGGGATGTCTACGGCATCTGGTGTTAGAGACTAAGGACGAGTCTAGAAGCTTAGCAGCCGAAATATCACCAAAAAATCGTTGGCTTAGAATTCTGGACAGAAATGTTGACTTCACAAGAAACCTCGTCGACAAAAAGTTAACTGTTAGAATTGTCTTAAACTTGAGTATGTTGTAGCCCTTCTTCAAGGCTATCTTTCTCAATTTGAATCGTATCAAAGGATGAATTTTTTCTCGAATTATCAATTTCGGCACACTAGGGGGTATGGTGCCGTAGAAACTTAACTCAATCACAATTGCCTCACAAGTTCTCACAAGTACCATACAAGAGAGTTGGAGTAGCAACAAACCAGGTAGAAGAGAAGGGGAGGATGAGAGGGAAGGTCCCAAGGGAGTCCCCAACCAAGGAAACCCCATGCCACACAATTCCCCTCTCTATAGGCACCCCAACTTTGACATTTGTCACTTTCCCAACCTCCACAATCCACCTCACCCCAACTTGGCCACACTTGCCAACCTGGTTTGGTTTCACCCAACCACTTGGAAGCTTCTACAATAATGGTGACGAATATCCCAACCCCCAAAATTCTATGCCCCTTATGGAGTCAATCCCACACCATCCCATAGTCGCCACAACCAAACATGAAAAGCATACGAACTCCAACGTTCGTAACTTTCTCGTTCGTGCTCCGATTGAAGCGATCCTTGGCTCAATGGAAAGCTCTCGAGCAGAGAATTCACTTCAGATATCTGCTCAAGCCAAATAACATTCACAAACACTCAGAATATCCAAACCACTTCTTGCACACGTTCACACCACGCATGCAACGCACGAACATATGATGGGAGGCAGACAAACGTGAATGCAAATGATTGCATCACACAACATCCAGGTCTGCCTCAGGTGAAAGCAGCAAGGACACGAGATAAATTACAGTGGTTGCAAGACACTCAAACTCCTCCTGCCTGTCCTCAAGGACGTCCGTGCTAAGAGCACACTCACCCCCGACGGAAGACAGACAGACTCAGACTCAGCAACAAGACTTGTGGCGTAGACTAGACGATAGTGAGCAGCAAAGTCGACAAGCTCAGCAACTAAGGAGATGCGAGACAGTAGGACTGGCAGCGCGAAGTAATTCCGACTCAGTGTCGGCGGCCTCAGGAAGAAAGGACATAGGAGGTGACGGCAGAGGAACACGCTGTGGAACAGAGGAAGGACGAAGTGCCATAGTGTGTGTGCCAGGGACAGGAGGAGGACGCTGACGACCAGTGCGAGCAATGCGAACAGGTGAGGCAGGACGAGACGCAGGCTCACGACGCTCTGTAAGCGAGTCTGTCTGCTCAGTGTAAGGAGAAGGAGCAGGCATAGGGATCCTGGCTGTAACGGGCCAGTAGAAGACGGAAGGCTAAGCACCTGACGAAGTACCGAGTCAGGTGATGGCAGAGATGACGGCGACGGCGGAGCGAAGAACGGTCGCTTCTGTGCGGTACCACCAGCACCAGCACCTCCAGTACGAGTACCAGCAGCTCCAGCGCCTCCAGCAGCTCCAAAACAACTAGCTCCAGTACCTACAGCTCCAGCGCATCCAGCGCCAATGCCTCCAGCTCCAGAGCCTGCAGCACCACCAGCTCCGGCAGCTCCAGCACCTCCAGGACGAGCACCTCCGGGACCAGCAGTGTTAGTACCACCAGCACCTCCAGCGCCAGAAGTACCACCAACTCCGACTGCTCTAGTACCTCCTATACTAGCACCCCCAGGACTAGCAGCTTCAGCTCCAGGGCCGCCAGCCCCAGCGCCTCCAGCTCCAGGGTCTCCAGGACTAGTGGATCCAGCACCCTCAGTACGAGCACCTCCGGGACTGGCAGTGCCAGGGCCACCAGTACCTCCAATACCAGCAGCACCACCAGGCCCGGCAGCTCTGGTACCTCCAGTACGAGCACCTCCAGGACCAGCAGCTCCAGCTCCTCCGGTACCTCCAGCTCCAGTGTCTCCATGCTGAAGGCGGTAGCGCTGAGCGTACCACTCGCGCAGCTGCTGTGGCGAGAGATTACCTCCAGCAGCAGCACCCCCAAACCCGGCACCTCCAGCTCCAAGGTCTCCAGCTCCAGCACCTCCAGCAACAGCACCCCCAGAACCGGCACCTTCAGCTCTAGGGTCTCCAACAGAAGTAGCAGTGTCTCCAACAACAGTGCCTCCAACACCACCGGCCTCGGCAGCTCGAGTACCCAGTACGAGCACCTCCAGGGCATGTGGTGTCGGCAGCGCTAGCACCTCCAGCTCTAGCAGCACCACCAGTCCAGGCAGCTCCAGTACCTCCAGTACGAGCACCTCCTGTCAGAATATTATGCTCTAACCTGTAGTGGGGTGCTCTATAGCGAGTACAACCCTTCTAGGGTTTGCTATTTGTATCCCCATTCTTACTAGTGCAACCTCTCTTTGCCTAAACTTCTCTTGCCTAGCTAGGGTTCTCCTAGCTATGGCTCCTAACTATCTTTACTATCTTGACATGCTATCAGAGCAGGTCGATCCCTTTGGATCGATCCTGTGGGTGGGCTCACCACCTCGTTGCTTCCGCTGCAACTTCCGCTGCTACTCTATGTGCCGCACGCCCCGTGGCGTGCGGCAGTTTATTCTTCCCGCCGTGCGCCCCGAGGCGCGCGGCGGTTTTCTGCCCGCCGTGCGCCCCGTGGCGCGCGGCGGTTCTCTGCCCGCTGTGCGCCCCGAGGCGCGCGGCGGGCTTCTGCCCCGTCACTCGACGCGTCGCCCCCGGGAGGCGTTGCGACGGGCGACGGGGACCCGCGCGTCGCCCCCCGTCGCCCGTCGTGGCCTGCGCGCGGCCCGTACAGCCGGCGTGCGGCCCGTACGGGCTGCGCCAGGCCTGCGCGCGGCCCGTACGGGCTGCGCCAGGCCCGCGCGCGGCCCGTACGGGAAGCGCCAGGCCCGCGCGCGGCTCGGGCCGCCTGCGCGCGGTTCGGGCGGCTATGCCAGGCCCGTGGGCGGCCCGTTCCTCGCTGCCCCTGCCCTCCCCACTGTCCCCCGTGCTTCTACTGGCGCCCCACCCCTCCTACAGCCCGTTCTCCTGAATTAGGGTTTGGGGGTGAGGGGTATGGGGGTGAAGCCACTGAGTGCCGTTCCCTGTTCCTCCTCCTCCTCCGTCTCCCTGTGCTGCAGCTGCCGCTGAGGGGGGGTGGACTTGTTGGAGCCGTTGGAGTGGTACTAAGGGGGGGTGAAGGGGGAGTGGAGCTAGCGGTGTAGCAGCGGGTGTGTGTCAGGGGGAGTGGGATAGTTTGGGGAGGTTGAAGGGGGTGGCCGCCGTGAAGCCAGCAGCTCCAGTCGCCCGTGAGACCGTTGCGCCAGTCGCCCGTGAGCCCGTTGCGCCAGTCGCCCGTGAGCCCGTTGCTCCAGTCGCCCGTGAGTCCGTTGCTCGTCTGCCGCTACTTTCAGCCGCGGAGCCAGTTACTCCAGTAGCCCGTGTGCCAGTTGCTCCAGTTGCCAGTGTGCCAGTTGCTCCAGTTGCCCGTGTGCCAGTTGCTCCAGTTGCGCCGTGTGCCAGCAGCTTCAGCTGCCGCCCACTACCTCCTCTCCTCTCATAGTCTCTTTCCTCCTCCTCACTTGCCCGTTGTGACTACCACTAGCTTTGCTCATAATTGTGAACTTTAAACTAACTTGACACCTCCAGAACCAGGAACACCAGCACCCACAGCGCCTCCACGGCGAGCAGCTCCAGTGGCTCCAACTGCTGCACCTCGAGCAGCAGTACCTCCAGCAGCAGGACCTCCAGCTCCAGCAACACGACTCCTCAGGCGCTCCCTTCCCACGCTATCCCGCCCCTCGTCCCGTTGCGTGTAGCTACGGCCACGCACAGCCGCACACAGCCGCGTACGGCAGCGCGCAGCCGCACAGCTCCCCTGCCCCGCACCTGCTGCTCGTACGCGGTGTGGGGATGGCGAGTGTGACCAGCCAGTTGCCCATGTGACAGTTGCTCCAGTTGCCCGTGTGCCAGCGGCTTCAACCGCCACCCACCACCTCCTCTCCAATCTTGGTCCCTCCTCACTTGCCTTCTGCTTCTTCCGCTGCGCCCTGCTTGGTGTACTCCTTCAGAAGGTGTTCTGTGGTGTGTTGAAATATGTTTATACGTATTCTTCATAATTGTCTGCAGTGTTGAGTGCAGTACATTCCATTTGCTGTAGGTGGTGCACCATGCTTCTCCTTGCTGTATCTGTACTGATGTTTCTTCGTACACCCCTCTTATCTTGGCCAACCTTCTCCTCTCTCTACCCTTACCTAGCTAAACCCTAGCTATGGCTCCTCGAGTTATGCTCCTGTTTAGGCAACCCTGCCATGCCACGGTGGGGATGGTGGGGGGTGGGGATAGTGGCGAGTGGGGATAGGGGGGAGGGCGGGGAGTGGGGAGGGTGGAGAGTGGGGAGGGCGGGGAGGTGGAAGCAATCCGCCAGTGTAGCTTCTTCCTCTGGGGGCTGCGCCAGGGAGTGAAACGACAGTTACCCCCACGCAGCCGTAGCCAAAGTATGCAGGACAACAATTGCCTGCTACAATCCTACCGTCTTTATAAGCGCAATTATTAACAAATTCAGAACCATGATTTCATTATGATTCCTATCACAAATCTAGAATTCAAAACAGAAACACAAGAGAAGATAACGTTTCAAAAGTCGTCAGTATTGAAGTAAGGGATCTTGAACTTCGAGTTTAGGTTCTTGCACAGCCAAGGGCTGGGGCCAATATATAGGTAATCATCACTTATGTAGGGTACAGAGTACCTGCGACACAAACACGACGCCACTCATCAGCAAAACTATTCTTCAGGGTAAGAACAAACTACAAAATGGGCAAACTCATAACAGGTAGACAGAGCCCGAAGGTTAAAAAAAAAAGCCTGAAGATACTCACTCCCATTTGTCGCCCACACGCTGAAATTTGTGCAGCCATTTTGCCTCCTTATATCTGCAATTTTTGAAGGCTTTTTCGTCATTAAACTGCCAGAGCGTCTTGTCATAGACAACTCCCCCACACTCGAACTCTATGGTTGGGGATTTAGAGTACACAAAGCGAACCGGGAGCAGGGAAGACAAGGGAGGAAGAGAGGTGAAAGGAAGAGAGAGAGAAGGGGAGGGGAAAGGAGGGAACGAGAGCGTTCTTACCAGGAAAGGAGCAAATCCCTGGCTGTCCAACACTGCCAAGGAGTGACGTTGGAGAACACAACGAAAGAAGACCAACGAGAGAGGGAAGGGGAGAGATAAGAGAGCGAGGGAGTGCGAGGGAGAGATAAGGGAGAGAGGAGTGCGAGGGGAGAGCTAAGAGAGCGAGAGAGTGCGAGGGGGAGAGAGAGAGACGTACCAATGGTATCCTCCATCGGCACCATGCCCTTGTCGCCCCACGTGCTTCCAACCTTTATCACAAAATGAAACTTCTTGCGCTGTAGATGCAAAAGGCAGCGGAAAGGGTTGTCATTTAGGAGCCGGATGAGTAGAGTGAGAAATTATTCAAGTCATTCAACCAGTTGAAGAGTGATTCTCCTTGAGGAAGCCCGGGCATGGTCCCATAAGCCACGTACTTAGTTTTTCCCTTCCCACTAAGAGGGCGTTTTACACGGGGCTCACAGCCTGTGAGGGCATGCTCAAGGGCCTTGGGTCAAGCTCACCTTGGGAGTGCTAGTGCTAGCAGGCTTGCTGGTAGTGGCGTTGCCAGGAGTAGTGGCAGCGGGGGCCAGACGCACCGCTTCTGAACATGCGCACACACGGATGGCTCGTCAGAGATGGAAGATCAACACGCAAGAGAGCTGCGTGCGGGAGTATCGTGGCGGGAGGAGGTGACTTACCACTCTGGCAGAGCAAAACGAGAATCATAGAAGCAGCCAAGCTGAGAGCGCGAAGCCGCGCCATAGCGCAGGAGTGATGCGGCACTACTACTCTCGCAGGAGCTCCTAAGCCGTCACGGACGAAACAACTTGAGTAAAATATCTTTTGCGCTATTAGATTTTCACAGGTTGCGATCGATACTGGCGCCCTCTCATATCCTTTGGAGCACAGGAGCGGTGGCATCCCGTGCCTCAGCCATCGGATGGCTGTTGTGTTCAGTGCGCGGGTTCGTGCTCGGCGTGCCCGGCGGCTAAAAGACCCCATTGCCCCGGCGTGCCAAGGATTCATGACGAGTCGTGAGAAAAAAATGCCGAGAATCCTCGGCAAGCGACGCGTCAACGGTAGTACCGGGCCATGTTGACAAATCACGTCATGTGATTAAGGCGTGGCTGGTTGGGCATGATCTATTTAGGGTTCCGAAAGGGACCTGGGAACAACTTACGGTTCAGTTACGAGAGAGAATGTTTGGCGATGGGCGCTTCGGGAAAGTTGCCCAGAGTTACCTGGCCTGTTTGGGCGCGAAATGCTTCACACCTGTGATTGGTTGAAAGGTTCGAAGTTACCGCTGGGTAAGATTTCGTCTCTCGTTTTAACTACAGTAGCTGGTTCGCTTTGTTTTAGGTCCAATTTCGATAGCTGTATAGGGACCATTGAAACAGAGCAGTGAAAAACAATGCAATTTCCATATTGCTTTGAAAGGTGTATGTAGTCATGTACTATTACAAAAGCAAAATGATAATTGAATTTGAATTTGTGCTTAACTCTAAAATGATTATGCATGCCACCAACAAATATAACAATTAGAGGCTGAAAATACTTGTTTCATGATTTTTTCTACTACGGTCATACCCCAGATATACCCCCATGGGGGGCACCAATAAATTGTTATATTTGTATTTTGTCCCCATCCATTTCTTCCCAATAAGTACATAAAAAAGAAATAACCTCGCCGTTGACTTTCAACAAATTTCAAGTAACATCTTATGTTGTAGAGCAAATCGGCGTGCTTCAAATTGCTCATCGTTGTGATGCTTTTCCTGCTCAATTGTTTAAAACATCATATATTCATGCCAGATGCTGTGAATGACACCAAATTTTGTCCAGCATCCGTAAATGCTTGAGTGATCATGAGTATTCTTCCTCAAAATAATAGAAAAAACAGACATCGATACTGCACCGCATGTCGCACAGGCATGTCCTTGCACATTTTTCCCTATCCAAATGTTTGAATAACCATATATTTCTACCAGATGCTGCGAATGGCACAAAATCTGTCCAGCGTCCTTACAATACAGTAAATCAAAGTTTGATCAAGAGAAACCTTGTTTAAAATAACAACCGGATGTCGAGACGACACCACGTGTGGCACATGTCCATCCTTGCACAGCTTTCAATGCTTAGTTGTTTCAAACACCATATCTTCCTACCGGTCACTACGAATGGCACCAAACCGGTGCAGCATCTTTACAATATGGTGACCAGCGTCTAGTCGCTCTCGACAGCTTCTGAGCGCTAGCTGTCATAAACTACAGGCAGGAATGAATGAACTAGCAGCATGATGGGTACAAGTAGGAAACCCTAATTTGGGTTGTACCATTAGCAGCATATATGTTTGACACACCCCCATAAGCAAAGTGGGGGAGAACAAGAGGTCACAGGACCAGTCAAGAAAGGCAAAGCAAGCTCAGGGTGGATCACAAAGTCACCACGCATTCTGAGCCTAAGCAAAGGGCCACAAGGCCAGTTCACATGCAGAGGTATATATGCAACAACACAGTACAGTGATTACTACCTAGCAAGAGCAAGCATGCAGGTATATATACATAGATCACAGTACAAGCAAAGCCTACAGCAAGTGAGGAAACGTAGGCACGAGGCCCAACAAAGTACAAAAGCGCTGATGATCACCAAACGGAAGTGCCTTGGTGAATATATCAGCAGCGTTGGCCCTGGTGGCCACGTGAGCAAGACGAAGCTGACCACGCTGCTGCAACTCTCGAGCCAGGAAGTAACGCAGAGCGATGTGCTTCGTTCTGTGCTCCAGTCTGTGCTCCTGACACAAGGCAATGGCAGCCTTGTTGTCGACGTACAGAACTGGAGGAGAACGAGGCCTCTCTCCCAAGTCGGTCAGCAGGTAGGTGAGCCAGCGCAACTCCTGAGCAGCCATGGCTGTGGCGTAGATCTCATGGTGGAGCTGAGAACAGAAGACGAGCGAGTAGAACGCCAAGAAACAGAGCTAGAGCCAAGGCTGAAGGTGTAACCCTGTGACGACCGCTGCGTAGCCTGGTCGTCAACCCAAGAAGCGTCTGAGTGCCCAGTGAGGACAACGTCGCTCCGTCCTCCAAGCACGAGCCCCATGCCCGATGTACTGCACAAGTAGCACAGTACCCTCTTTGCAGCATCCATGTGCACCTTTCAGTGCCGACCAGGAGCCACGTAGCGAGCCAAAAGGCCAAGAGGGTACGCAAGGTCAGGTCGAGTGCAGGTCATCACGTACATGAGGCAGCCCACTAGCTCTGCGTAAGGACCACTCGACTCTACGGACTCGTCCGAAGGCAGAGCTGAGAGCGAGTGACCTGTAGCAAGAGGAGTGGACTGTGCGGAGGACCAGGTGAAGCCGAAGCGCTGAAGGACCTGCTGCACCATGTGTGACTGAGTCAGTGTGATGGTGCGGCGTGCTCTGTCCCGGGTGATCTGCAAGTCAAGGTAACTGCGCAGCTCACCCAGGTCAGTGCACGTGTGTCTCTTCTGCAGCTCCGACTTCACCAGAGCGAGAGCCTCAGTGTCAGCAGTAGCAAAGACCAAGTCGTCGACGTACACGAGGATGTAGAACGGCGGCAGCGAAGTGTCGGTGCGCAGAAACAGCGACGGGTCAGCAATCGAAGGAGCAAACCCAAGAGCCGCAAGTGTAGTCTTCAGTGTGTCGTGCCACTCACGAGGTGCCTGGCGGAGACCGTAGACTGGCCGCTGGAGGCTCCACTGGGTACCAGGAGGGAACGACCCAGTGGGTGGCGCAGCCAGATCTCCTCGTGCAGGTTGCCCTGTAAGAAGGCTGTGCTGAAGTCAAGTGAGTGAAGCTCGTAATCACGCTGAGCGGCAACGTGCAGCAGCACCCTATGAGTGAACATCTTCGGGGTAGGGGAGAAGGTCTGGAAGAAGTCAACTCCCTCACGCTGACTGAAGCCTCTAGCAACGTAACGAGCCTTGAAGACATGCGGAGAACCCGGCGGCCGCTTCACCCTGAAAATCCACATGTCATCGACGATGTTCGCCCCAGGAGGAAGAACCTTATCGGCGTAAGTGCCTGTGGACTTCTAGGATGCCATCTCTGCGTCCATGGCTGTCTGCCACTGAGAGGAGTACTCATCTGCGATAAATCTGTCTTGCAGCCTCAGCGTACGAGTGCGGGGTCAGGATGTCTGGTGCATCCGGGTCTCCCTCAGGGGCAAGTAGCATGGCCACGAGATGAGGCGCAGCGACTGCAAGACACTCAAGGTCCTCGTGCCTATCCTCAAGGACGTCCGTGCCAAGAGCACACTCACCCCCGACGGACGGAGGACAGACAGACTCAGATTCAGCAACAAGACTAGCGGCGTAGTCTAGACGACAGGCAGCAGCAAAGTCAACAAGCTCAGCGACCAAGGCAGACGCAGCAGCAGACTCAAACAACGGGTCAGTGACAACAGTGGCTAACAGACGCGTGACAGTAGGGTGTGCAGCACGAAACTGGTCAGACTCAGGGTCCGCAACGTCAGGCAGAGAGGGTCCAGGGGGGGAAGGTAGAGGAGCACGCTGTGGAGTAGAGGAAGGACGAAGGGCGACAAGACGCGTGCCGGGGACAGCCGGCTGATGCTGACGAGGAACACGACGACCGGTACGACCAGGACGAACAGGCGAGACAGGACGCGATGCAGGCTCACGACGCTCAGCAAGACCCCCTGTCTGCTCAGTGTAAGGAGAAGGAAGGAAAAGGCAGTGGTGAGCCAGGCAGTAACTGAAGACCAGTAGAAGACGGGAGGTCAAGAACCTGGCGAGCGAAGTACAGAGCCAGGCGGTGGCTGAGACGACGGAGACGGCGGAGCGAAGAACAGTCGCGTCGGTGCAGTGCTACTTGCACCAGCAGCTCCAGCACCTCGAGCAGCTCCAGCACCTCCAGCAGTCCCAGTACCCCCAGCAGCGCCAGCACCTCCAGGACCTCCAGGACCAGCTCCACCAGCAGCAGCACCCCCAGAAACAGCACGTCCAGTCCTAGGGTCTCCAGCCTCAGTGTCTCCAATAGCAACACTCCCAGACGCAGCACCTCCTGCCCCAGCAGCTTTAGAGCACCTCCGAGACCAACGACTCCAGCACCTCCAGTAGACAAAGGACCAGCACCACTCCTAGCTCCAGTGACGTCAGCAGAAGTACCTCCACGAGCGCCAGGAGCGCGACCCTGATGGCGACCGTACCAGTCATGCAGCTGAGGGAGGTGAGAGATGTCCGCGGATGAAGGCGGCCACTGGAGGTGCAGTACCCTCAGGCGCCGCACCCTCAGACTCAGCACCCCCAGGCTCCTCACGCACAGGCTTAGTACCCCCAGGCACAGCACCTCCAGTCTCCTCACGCACAGGCTCAGCACCTCCAGGCTCAGCACCTCCAGCAGGCAAAGAACCAGCACCACTCCCAGCTCCAGTGACGTCAGCAGAAGTACCTCCAGCACTCCTAGCAGCATCTCCACCAGTAGCAGTAGTAGCACGAGCAGGAGGGCGGATCGGGTCGGGTAGGGCGGCTCGGCTCGGCAGGGTTTAGGGGCCAGCAGGGCGCGCGTCGTGCAGGGCAGCAGGGCGCGGCGCACGGGCTGCAGCAGAGCGCGACGTGCAGGGCTGCAGAGCGCGGCGCGCGGGCTGCCGTAGGGCGCGACGCGCGGGCTGCAAGGCGGACGGGCGACGCGACGGGCAGGCAGCCCGTACGGGCGACGCGACGGGCTGGGACAGCCCGTACAGGCGACG